CAAAAATCAATTTCTTTTGAATTGGATTTATATTTTTATTCTACTTAAGATAGATCAAAATTGAAAAGTTTATGTTAGTCGATAGACGGTAGTTGAAACATCATACCTACTATTATTATAAATTATTATTWTTTTTTTTATTAGGAAAGAGCCCTCGGCAGCATAGGCCATTGGGCTTACAAAATAAAATTATTATTATGCACATGACAAAATGTATTTTATTAAAAAAAATAATTCTAGGCTCTTTGGTCGGCAGAGGAAAAGGACTGATTCAGAATGCTCTTAACATGGGTGTTAGAAACAACAATAACACTGACCGAAGCGACTGCGTGTACAAGCGAGATTCTGACGACACATGTCCTGGAGAGGATATACTTTTTCACTATTACACACTCAGGTATGCAAAAACGAAACTGTACTACAATTTTAATATAAACTTATGATAATAGGTAGGTACTATTGATAATAATATTATACTACACCACTATTGTAATAGTCCCCGCAAATGCGTTTCGTGTGACARTGAAATAGTAGCGCACGTTTATACAATCATAAATAATATTATAAGAATACATAATATTATATATTATTATTATTATTATGGTGGACGCTACGTGTTTATAACTGATGGAAATAACACCTAAACACCCGTTAGCAATTGTAATTATTGTTCGAGTATAATAATATAGTTTCATCATTGTTTGGCGATGACAATAACTGTGTCCGAATTAAATTTATTTATTTATTATTAAGCTTATTCTTATTATAATTTTTAGTACCACAGTAATATTATATAASGAGTTTGGTTTGTTATAAATTACGTAATATCGGAGTTACTATAAAAAATTAGTCATTAGTTTCCTGATAACATAATAGTATTATGCGCTGCTATATTAATCAAGTTTATGATTTTAAAAATTCAATTTTCTTTTATTATTCGGTTTTGTCCGGATCACTGGAATCAAWTAATAATAATGCTTCGTGTTGGTTGTTTTTTTACAAAAGGATATTACACTTGTCCCACGAGTGCAAGATACTTCTGATTCTAAGTTTATCAATAGTATTCGAACCGACTTGCGACTTCTGCGTACTTGATATATTTAACGGTTGATTGTAAACGTAGTGTCGTTTTTACGTCATTGAGTGATCGAAAATTATTGTTCCTATTATTATTTTCTTGGGCAAATAAAGAACAATAATATTATACCTGTGCATTCC